AAACACAGTTTGAATTTCTGACAGTTACCTGTCCATACACTATTTCAGCCATTTTTGGATGATCTTCAGCAATATTTTATTTGCATGTGATATGAATATACAGTTAAATAATTTCCACATACTACTGGATAACCTTTCTTGGAAATGGAAACAAATATGGATCTCTTCCAGTCAGTCAACCAGTCAGTTGTCCTCCAAATTTCCTGGAGTAGACCAGTGAGCACACCCAGGATTGTATCTGTTAGTTGGAAAATGTCAATCAGTATCCCATCTCCTGGGGCCTTATTTTTTCCCAGTGTCTCCAACACAACTTGAACTTCTTCCTTTGACATCATGGGCTCTTGTTCATATGGTGATTCCTGAAATTCTTCAAGGTTGATCAGATCTTTTTTAGTACAGTGACTCTGTGTATTTCTCCCATATTCTTTTAATGCTTTTTGGATCATTCAAAATTTTACCCATGGCATCTTTCAGTATTGCAACTCAAGGCTTGAATTTGTTTTTCAGTTCTTTCAGCTTGAGAAATGCTGAACAAATTCTCCCCTTTTCATTCTCTGACTCCAGCTCTTTGCACATTTGTTATAATACTTTACTCAAGCTGCCATTTCAAATCTTCTGTTCAACACTTTTACATCAGCATCTCTTCCCTTTGTTTTGGCTTTTCAACACTTTAATGCCATTTTCATAATTTCTTCTGACCTCTGTTTTGGCTTTTTCTTTCTCTCCCATATTTGTAATGACCTTTTGCTCTCTTTATGGATGATATTGTTGATTTCATTCCATAGCTTCTCTGGTGTTCGATTACTGGCGATCAATGTCTCAGCCTGTTTTTAAGATAATTTTTTAATTCAGGTAGAATAATCTCAAGGTCATATTTTGCTTCTTGTGGATTTGTTGCCATTTTATTCAACTCCAATTTGAATTTGCATGTGAGTATTCGATAGTCTGATATACAATCAGCACCTAGTCTGGTTCTGAGCTTCTCCAGTGATTCTTTCCACAGATCTATCAGTCTGATTCCTATGCAGACCATCAGGAGAGGTCCATGGGTGAAGTTGCAGTACGTGTTTCTTTTTTTTTAAAATTAATTTTTTATTTTAATTGTGATTGTAACAAAAGTACAGAAAAGTTGGCTTTTCATTCATTCATTGTTGTACATTTTCCTCTTTCCCCCTCCTCTGCTCACTTTCTTTTGTTTAAAAATATTCATTCATTGTTGGGCAATTTCCTCCTAATCATATATTCCTTTTAAACAGTTCTTTTCTTCATCTATCCCAATGCAGTGTTCATTGTCTATCCACTCTTCCTAGTTTCCTCCTAACCCTCCATGTCAGTCCTGCTTTATAACAATGGTGTTACATGGTATATGTCCTTTTGTGACTTAAGTATTTTGCTCAGCATACTGTCATACAAGGTCATTCATGTTGTGTAATGTTTTACATATTCATCGTTTTTCAGTGCTGCATAATATTCCATTTTGTGAGTATACTACAGTTTTTCCTTTAAAAAGTATTTGCTGTGAATAAATTATTGAATGTACAAGTTTTAATCATTTGCTCTCCCCCCTCATTTCTATCACCAAGTCTCTACTTTCCAACTAGTTGCCATCTAATCTATGAAAAGTTGGATAAATTTAACTCTGGCAATATCTGTAATGGAGATAATGAATAATGAGAAGTGAAGAAGAAAGGAGAGACAGAGAGGGATGGAGGTAGTGGCAATGATTAAAGATATATTAAGTAGTTCTTCCCACCCTACGAAGGTCTTTATATTGTTCTTAAGTCACAATGAATAAAGAAGTCATGGAGGAAGATAATAAGAAGGGAGAAATATTGAAATCTTAATGGTTTACAAAATGCAATTTAACAATATTTATCTATATTTTACAATATAATTATAATTACATGCACCCTTTTCATTAAAACACAAAAATATATATAAATATTATTTACATTATAAAAAATTAACATCAGCAGCTGACAATAAAAATTTATCAAAGACCATTAGAGTTGGCTGTGAGAAAGCTTTCAATATTTACCTCAAGCACAACTCATTTATTCATAAAATTACTTTATAATATCCAAGTTCTATAACTCATGGTACTCTTCTGGATATGTGCCTACACACACATACACATACCCCACAGATTGCACTGAAAAGACACATACTGTGTAAGCAATGGACTGTGACACCGCTACCTCCACCACCACCACTCCCACTGCTTTCTCCTCTGTTCGCTTCATCCGGTTATTCAGGTTATGTGTTTAGAAGCCAAGATACCCCTTGTCAAAGGAGTATTGGCCTTTTTCAGTCTCATTAGCATATTATACAAAACTATTTTCCTTTTTAATCTTGCTTAAAATCAAGCCACTTCTAAATATCTGAAAGATAGCTTCCCCCAGGATAGTGAATAGATCCAACTCACTGCTTATTACTATTGAGTTGGAACCAACTCATAGCTGACCCTCCAGTGGGTTTTCAGAGGCTGTAACTTGCACAAGAGAAGATTGTCCATCTTTCTTCGGTGAAATTGCTGTTGTACTTGAATCATCAGAGAGGCACCAATGCAACTCCCTACAGATGGCACCAAACTCCATAGACACAACTCAAGAGGTAAGTTTAAAAATGCCTTTTTCAATGTGTCAAAATGCTTCTTGTTCCTTAAGATGAATATAGAACAAGCCTGGTTGCTGCTTTTCACTGTCATTATCTTGACCTGGCAGCCCATAATTTTATGTTCCTCAGTTATATTCCTTCTCAGATTTGGCTCATGGATATTGCATGAGGAGTTACAGATCTCCTGGACCCTATGATCTAAGGTCACCTTGGTTCAAACCTTCTCACCTAATTTGAAGTGGTCTTAAAAGACCCTCATTCAAGGCAACATGTTCAGTCTTTGTAACAAGGAACCATGATGGGAGAATTCCAAAGTGTTTTTCTTAGAGCTTAAATAAACCAAAAAATGTCTGAGTTTCCTCAAAATTAACTAGAGCAATTGCAGATACATTGACATATAAATGGTCGTCACTGGTAAGACTGAACACAGCACCCAGGTAGCTGCTCCGTGCCCACATCTTGTTGGTAGTGCAATAGTTTTTCACCTTCTCCTCCATTAACACCATGTCCACGGGATATTTAGAGCTCCTCACGTAGACTTTGTGGGTTAAGGCTTGGTCGTTGCAGGAATTGTTCCGAAAAAACACTTTAGAATACACAAAGTATATTCCAGTGTCATTGATCACAATGCCACCTTTCTTATACTTCATTCCAGAAAGTAAGGCAAGTCCATAGGTGTCTTCCCATTCCAGAGGGAGTGACCTTGAATTGTGCTTTCCTGAAATCAAATAATAGAAGATTTATTAGTCAGGAATATTCTCAATCCAATAAATTAATCTTCCCAGCCAAAATTTTGAGATTTTTTTTCCTTGAGTAAATAGTTTACCCAACACAACTAACACATATAGAACTGGCTGAGAGGTAATATTTGGATTCATCACTAAATGCCTTCAATACCTTTGTAAAGTTTCCTCATTACTCTCTACCTCAATTTGATACCCCTTCCAATGTAACAATAAAATAGACCCTTAATATCTCAACAAGAAATTAGCACCCAAACTGCTAGGTCTTGAGGTCTTTCCGTGAGAAAAAAAGCCAAATCCAAGGAATTCTAGAATCCTAAACCTGGGGAGAACTTTAAATATTAATTATCTGGTTCAACTTCTCATCTATACTCATCAGTTGGGGCTCAAATTTCTTTTCCCATCACATTATGTGCATATCCATTTCAATACAGAAATTATTACTTATTAATCTAGCTCAGTAGATTTGAAGCTCTTTGAAAGCATGAATAATGTGTCATTCATATCCTTGTGCCGAGACTTTATACATGACAGGTACTAGATTAATACCTATTGAACTGAAACATATCATTCTGTAATCTCTACCAAAGTAGCCCTTGAACAGAAAGACAGTTCAGAACTTAGTGTGTTATTTACCCACTTTTCAGTAGACTTTACAATAGGAGTCCCTAATATATTTCTAGAAAACTGTTTGCATGCTAAAAGTTCATAAAAATGCCAGGACTAAATCTTCCTTCAAACTCTCATTTCTACCATGAATACAAGGAAGAATGGACCTCTTTTCAATTAAAACAGGGACACACCAACTAAAAGAATTCACTGTTTCCCATATTTCCAGTTCTCTTAAACCTGGGCCCCAAATCTTCTAATTTTTTTTTTTAATTATTTGAACGGTATAAGCTCTGTACAGGCAGAGATCATGTTGTGATTATCACTAAAACATAATTACATCATGAGTTTAGCACAAAGTCTTGCCTACTGAAGATTTTCCATCTATGTTTGTGAGACAGACCTGATTAGAAACATGTGACAATTTTTTGGTTCCAAATACTGTCACTGTCTTCACATCACAATAATGACATTTTGCTTTTTCAACCCTGACTTTCTGAAGCCATACCCTGCCTAAACTATATTCTATACACAGACCTGTTAAATGAGCGATTTTCTTCACCTGCCGTTTTTCGTAAGCAGTGTTGGGCTGCCCTATACCAAGAAAAAGAAAAAAAAATTTAAAAAATATATAAACTTTATTGACCAACTAGAATGTCTGTGTTTCATTGACTATGCAAATGCGTGTGACTGTATGGATCATAACAAATTGTGTATAACCTTGAGGAAAATGGGCATCTCAGAACTCTTAATTGTGCTTATGTGAAACCTATACTTGCACCGAGAAACAGTACTCAGAACAGAGCAAGGAAACACTGTATGGTTTAAAATCAGGAAAGGAGTGTGTCAGGGATGCATCCTGTCCCCACACCTTTTTAATCTGTGTGCAGAACAGATCATTCGGGAAGCAGGGCTTTATGAGGAGGAGTGTGGCATCAAGATTGGAGGAAGACTCATCCAACCTTGCTTGCTGAGAGGGTGAAACCAAGTCTCTCTTTTTGCAGCTCCATCTCACATACTTTGGGCACAGCCAGTCCTTGGAAAAGGACATCATGCTCAGAAGGATAGAGGGACAGCATAGGAAGACCCCAGATGAGATTAATTGATACAGTATCTGGATCAATGGGGTTTGGTGTGTTGGAATTAGTGAGAATGGCTCAGTACAGGAAAGGTTTCAGAGCTTCTGTACATAGGGTCGCTATGTGTTGCAGGCAACTCAATAGCACATAACAACAAAACCATACTATATTGATTGTTTTTTATTTAAGCCTCTTGGTTAGAGTCAACAAGACCTTGGGGAGGGTGTTTGTATTTAAAAGTCAATTGTTACTATATTTTGGAGGAACAGTCTTCTAAGTGGTACAGCACTCTTCTGTCAATATGCTGTACTGAGGTAACCTGGGGTTGCTGTGATGCTGAACTTTGTGTCATTGGGGTGTCAAATGCCATAACGGTTACTCACTGTGGATAGTGTTAGATGGAGTTTCCAGTTTAAGACAGGTTTGGAAGCAGGATTGGCATCCACTTTCTAAACAACATGCCTCTGGAAACTCTCTGAACTTTGATAAATTACGGTAGTTATAGAAAGGCTTCAGGCCTTTTGTTCATGGAGTCCCTATGAATCATACTTGACTCCATGGTAAACAACAACAATAACAACATTATTTTGGTGAGACACTAAACAAGAGCTTTAAATAAATGACCTTTTGAAAAGCATAAATTGCAAGTGTAACATATATTCATCAGACAGCTCAAACCTGCAGAACTCACAGTAGCCTGTATTTCAGTAACAGAGAGGTAAAAAGAAAACAGAGACATAAGCATAAATATGTATAGATATTAAGATAAAACATGAATTTTTATTTCTAAAGGATTGTCATGTTGGTTACTTCTGATATTTAGAAATTTTAGATACTCACCATGACCCTTTGAAGTAATGAATGAATCAATAAGCTTAAAAGTTAGATGACTTGTGCAAGAAGATCCACCTACTCAGAATCAGAGGTGGAACCAGAATTCTGGTCTCCTGGCTCTAAATTGATAACTTTATATGCTCTATATTTGCTGCCCTTAGGTAGTGCCAGATTACCATATAAGCAGGTAAAGAAAGGCTTACTGATGCTTGCTTACTTACTAATCCATAGTGAACAATTTCACATTTTTTTAGCAGGTTGAGGATTCAGCTTCTAGTTAAGGCTGGCATCTTTCTCTCAATCGCACAGCCTCTTCCTACAGAATCAAGGCCTCTTTTCAAAGTTACAATCCCTGACTGAGACCAACTACTTAAGAAGCAAAGTTAGCATGGATTTAATTGTTGTGATGTGGTGAAAATGTGTGATGTTGCTCGCTGTAGATCAAATGTCAGTGCTTGTAGCCCACACTTACCCTGCTTGAGCTGCCCTTTCTTAGGATGATGGCTCTAGGACAGAGAAATCTGCTAATTCTTCTTCTGTCCACTATCAACATTCTATGGCCTAATTACAATGACATTCTACAGAATTAATTATCCTAAAGTATGTTTTTAACTCTATGATGAAGATCTCAAACACTTTAGTGGATCCTTACTGAAAATACAATTATGCTCACCCTTCTCACCACCACATGACTTCACTCTGTCTGGACAGCCTCATTTCCTTCATTTTTGCCCATACTGGACCCTCCCAGACACAAAACTTCTTACCTGCTCTGAACATACTCCAGCTTCCCTGCCTGCATGTCTTTTACTCATGCTTTTCTTTCTGCCCAAATGCCTTCCTAAATAGATCCCTTTATCACATTCCTAACAATCCCAAGAACCATCTAAAATTCTACTTTCTTCATTAATTCCCACTCCTTTTTAATCAAATATGATCTTTCTTCCTCTGAAGTCTGGGAGTCCTTCATCTTCACCCTTATCACATCAAATTCCTTTGTTATATAGTCATTACTTTACTTGCCTTATTCTTTAAATTAAATTAAATTAAAGAATAAGTTCCTTAACTAGATGAATCCACTCGAGTGCCTGGCCTAATTTCCAATTTAGTGCATATAACCAGTAAATGTCTACCAAATTGAGTTAAAGAGTTGGAAAAATGACAAGTTCTCAAAACAGACTATATTTTTCTGGCTTCAGCTATTTCAACTAATGTAAAGATGTTTAAGAAGGATTTATAGGAAAGTGCTTGTTCACATTAGCTTGTCATGATTAGCCCATGAAGCTCACACATGGCTTAATAATGGCCTAATCAACTGAAAACAGTGTTCAAGCAGTAATTACCTCTCAAACCACATAAGAGGACCCACTACAAGAGAGGTGTTAATGAACAGGAAAGGTATAACTAAGTCTTAATCTACATTCCCACACTACGAACCAGTTCTGCAGCTCATCTGGCATTTGGACATATACTAACAGGAAATGGAGCAGAGACCACATTTTGTTTATCTTTATCTTTCAAAAAAGTTAGCACAGTTGAATTCTCATTAAAGAAATTCATAAATGTTTGCCAGATAAACAGAGGGGTAAATAAATAAATAAGAAGAAGTACATCTTGGTCTTTGGTCTTTCAAGATAACTATTCCCTGATTCAATATATTTACATGTGCCATTTTCATTGCTGAAATTCTCTCCTCAACTTCCATACCTCACCTCCCACCAACACACACAAGACAAACACACATGCCATCTACACACCAACACACCACTTATTTACTTGGCCAGCTCTTTATCTTTCAGATTTCAACATAAACAATGCCTCATACCAGCTCATTCTATCTTAGGTCACATGTAGTACAACTTAAAATTATGTTTCATTAAAATTAATTCATTAAAAAATTATGTGGTTGATTTGTTTGCCTGCTTTGTTTCCCTTCTCTAAGTCTCTCTCATTCCTGGCCATCACCCAGCACCCAGTTCAGCACTTATGGGGTACTTCAAGTATGATTGAGAATGAATAAAGGATTTAATGTGGAAGGAAATCAAAATATAAGGAGAAGCAAAATAGAAAGCTTAAATAGTTTATAATAGTACCTCCCAGAGAAAATAACTGTTAATTTGTCAGCGTGTAAATGCTTCTAGTTCTTTTATATGAAGTATAACAATATGCATATATAGGAACATCACTCAAAAAAATTCAAACTCACTGCCATCAAGAAGGTTCTTACTCATAGAGCTCTTCCACTGGGCTTCTGAGGAGAAGACTGCACATCTTTCTCTGGCAGAACCCCTGGCAGATCCAAGCTGCCTTTGGGTTAACAGTGCAGCTCAGTCTGGACTACAAAACCAGAGCTCCCCTAAATAGTTACATAGTCAGTATTAAACAAAACATACTGTTTTGTAATTTGCTTTTTTTTTATCTAACAATAGACAGCGGTTCTATCTTGACAGAAATCAGATACAATCAGATCTTTAACTAGTTCTTCTATCATAAGGCATTAAGATTTCTTCCAAATTGTTTATTACAAATACCCTCATAAAGAAGTCATGAACATTTCCCAATATATCTCTTTAAGCATATCTCTTATTTTTCTCAAAATAAATGAATATTTATTTTATTTCGAGGTAAATTAGCATTTTTACACTATTGATATCTTTTCCAAAACTCCTTTTCAGAAAAGTTGTAGCAATTTATACTGCCACTGGCTGTCAATGAATTCTTTCTTTCATATCTTTACCAATCTGGACATCAACCATTTTTAAAATATTTAACAATTCACTGTATGAACAGAGGCATTTCCTTGTTCTAATTTAATTTTATTAATAAAGCTACTTAATTTGATTATTTTTTTAACAGTTTCTTAATTTGTATCGTATCAATCAAGTTCCTAGTTTGATTTCCATGTCATAAGTCACCAAAGTTAGGTTGATCTGGCTTGATGTAGAGAAGATTAAGTATTCCTTTGGGGAGGTAGATTTGAGTCATCTGTTCATTTGACTTATTCACTAACATGGCCCCACTGAGTAGGTGAGAGATGAGTAATAAGGTGTCTACTTCACCAGTCACATTCCACTGATTTTTCAGATATTTCAGAAGTCTTACAAAAGCTTCATTTTTCTAGAAAATATTTCTGCTTTACTGGTGTATATCTGGGCTTTCTAATACTTATGGACTCTAACTCAGAACTGGGAACTTAACTAATCTAAAGGCAGCAAGATCCCGACTTGGCCTTCAAGAAGTAGACATTAAGAATCCAAACAGGTTCCACTTCAGGGATGGTCCGTGCTGCTTCCTGTGTTCTCAGTTCCCAAGAATGAGATGTACCTATCTGCAGAGAGACCCTGCCTTTCCTGTTCCTTTTTCACTCTGTGGCCATCAGAAAGAGTTAGATAATTCCCTACCCTGTAAAACCTCCATCTGTATGCTGGGAAGTCTTCAAGAGGTTTCCTCTAGACCTAGGTCCATAAATGTGGTCTTGAGAATATCACCTAATCTGTCCAGTATTTTGCTCAACTGAACTTTAAACTCACAACTCTAGTCAAATCTACTGAATTCAGTAAATCTTACTTTAAAACAGGCTAAGAATATTTTTTTCAAAAAATAATCCATCTGTCCACCACTTAGAAAACTTTGCCCTGCAGCTCCCTGAGTAGTGACTCCATGAGTAGTTCAATATCTTCACCTCTCTCTTTCCTGGATCTCATACAAAGGATTTTCCTTTATTACCGAAAGCAGCAGTTACTGCTTCTTGGGGGAGTGGGGAGGGCTGGGGTTTGAAACTGGATTTTTTTTTTAATATTCGTTAGATGTCTTCCAAGGTTTCTGGTGACTGCGAAAGAATCATCCTACAAGAGATTGGGTTGTATACATATTAAACTTCCACTGTATTTCATAATATAGTTCTAAAACAAATCTTACTAATTATTAATCTCTTTTAGAACCTACCAGCTTCCATCAAGTTAGTTCTGACTCTTAGTGACCCTCTATTGAGTTTCAGAGGTGGTGAATCTTTGTAGGATAAAACGGCCTGTTTTCTGTCTTGGAATGGTGGGTAGATTCTAATTACTGACCTTTCTGTCAATACATAAAGCACCATACCACCAGCAAAGCATTTCCCATAAAAATGCTCTCTGCCTCCATCTCCTTTTCTCTTTCTAGATATTACACCTGTTCACATCTGAATCAAGAAGAAGGAAGGCAGGTCTACAGCCTCAATTTTATCTCAAGAGATAAATTTTATCTCAAGAAATAAAATTTAGAGAGGGTGTGTGTGTGTGTGTGTGTGTGTGTGTGTGTGTCCATTCATAGTTAAGTGAAAGTTATTTTTAGTTGTATATAGTGCTCAGCTATGCTCATTTTGAACAATTATATCAACTTTGCCTTTTAAAGCATCAGAAAGAACCAAAATGATCAGAGGGTTAGAATATTTATAAAGAAAAAGGTATTCAAGACATTGTGCATAAAAGGACTTACCTATTTGCTTCTCCAAAGAGACTGCTACATGTTTATGACTGATTGACTGAGGGAAAAAAAGAGAGAGGGGGAGAGAATAGATGCATAATAAATATGAAGTAATTTATGTCAGAAGCAGAATTGTCAAATAAACCAAGCTGCAGAAAGAGGGCTTAAATACTTCAGAATCTTACCTAATTCAGACAATGGCCAAGCAATTGTGTTTCTCTGTGGCTCAGGTTTCTGACTTGGAACAGTATCATTTATTTTAAGTATTTATAAAGAGATCTAGTTTGGCCATCCGAAAATAGTCTTTAAACCCAGACTTGATATTTATTGCTTTCTGCAGTGACTAGGGATGATAGAGAATTGATGCCTTCGAGCTGTGGTGCTGGAGAAGAATGTTGAATATATCATGGACTGCTAAGAAAATGAAAAGGTTTGTCCTGGAGAGGGTGAAACCAGGCTGTTCCTTGGAGGCATGGATTCTGAAGCTTCATCTGATATACTTTGGACATGTTGCAAGGAAGGACCAGTCCTTGGAGAGGGACATTGTGCTTGGGAGGGTGAAAGGACAGTGCAAGAGAAGAAGATCCTCAATGAAATGGATTGATTCAGTGATTGGGGTATTGGGAGTAGGCGTGTCAGAGACAGTGAAGTTGGTACAGGATAGAGCAGGGTTTAGGGTTCATTACATACATAGGGTCATTATGAGTTGCAAGCAACTTGACAGCACATAACTACAACAAAAAATCATTAGGTGTGAAATAGGGAGGTCTGGGGGGCCTAGTGGTAAGGAGTTGTGCTACCAAACCAAAAGCATACAGTTTGAATGCAAAGCTGTTCCTCGGGATTAATATGAGCAGTCTCCTCCCATGTCCTCCTCTCATTATCCTCCCATACAATTAATTGTCGTTGTTATTGTTGTTATTATGTGCCATCAAGTTTCCTGTGACTCCCGGTGACCCTATGTACAACAGTCCTAAACCCTTCTCTATCCTGTATCAATCTCACTGTCTCTGACATACCCATCCCCATTACCCCAGTCACTGAATCAATCCATCTCATAGAAGCTCTTCCTCTCCTGCGCCGTCCCTCCACCCTCCCAAGCATGACATTCCTCTCCAAGGACTGGTCCATCCTTGCAACATGTCCCAAGTGTGTCAGACAAAGCTTAAGAATCCTTGCCTCCGAGAAGCAGCCTAGTTTAACCCTCTCTAGGATGAATCTGCCTCTGAAAACCCACTGGAGCATAACTTTGAGAAGATTACAACTCAAATGCACATAAGAAAAACAATAGATTTGAGGCAGTAATAGGTAGGCAGGCTGATTAGCCAACTGAGAAAGGAAATACTATAAATATCAATCTCATCCTGGATCTGATGCTTTACAAAAGCCTGCTCAATCCTCCACTTGGTTGCAAGTCTTTATACAACGAGACTATCATGTATCTCCCACTGAGTGACCTGGGGATTCTAACTACTGATCTTTTGATTAGCAACTCAATCCTTAACACACTACATCACCAGAGCTCTCTTGACAATCCTGTGGAGCAAGTTAGAGGGAGGGGGAGGGAATCCCTTCATTCATATGGACCTCCATTTCTCTGCCTGTGGGATAGAATGGTTAAAGTAATCCATGTCCAAGAGAGAGAAAAAGGATTGAAAAGCATCTTGCAAACAAGACCACGGCAAGCTCCAGTGTCCCTCCACCCCCCACATGTAGCAGAGCTGTGGCAGCGACCCCTGTCAGGCCAGGCTTACCTCTCTGAGTTCAGCTAGCTCCTTCTGCAGGTGAAAGAGTTGAAACATCCCCAGCATCAAGCCAACCAGGGATACCAGAACCATGAAAAACACCATAAGGAGGCATAGTCCTGTGTTGTTCCTTTTCTTCAGAAGTGATGGTGGAAACGGAGGCAATGGTGGTGGCAGTGGAGGTGGCAGTGGTGGTGGAAGTGGTGGTGGTGGTGGTGCCCTTCGACCAGGCCTTCTAGGCACAGAAGGTTGGCAGGGGAGAACAGACCCTGGATTACCCCAGGGAGAGCTGGCATTGCTGTCCACCCAGTAGATCTGGGGATACTGGTAATTCAAGGGCTGTGGCATGACAGCCAGGAACTCGGGCTAGCCTCCAGGTAGGTGATTTTATTTTGGGGTCCTGTGTCGGCTGAAGTGTCAAAGGAGGAGACTCCTGTTACTAACTGCCTGAGAGAAGGGAAGCCAGTGTTCACTTTATAGTTTCCACAGTTAAGGGAAACACCCCTCTCAATCTTTCTGTTTCTCAAAGCAAGCAACACCTACTCATTTGCATACAAAGCTGAAAAACCTCAAGGAGCTCACAGCAAACCCCTGGAAGTTTCCACCCACAATTTTCTGATGAAAGCCTTCAAAGCCCCAATTGCTTTCCTGAACTATCTAAAAAGGTTTGTAGGTGAAGCTCTTTCTCTGTCCCTACTGGACCAGGTCAGAATTAGGTGAGCATTAACTGCTCCCACTGTGGGAGAGTGGTCCTTGAGGCATGGTGCAGACAGAGAGGACAGACCCGTTGTCCTGGCCTGAAGAACCACTTCTACATCTCACCTTTTGCATGATTTGACATTTGTCCCTTAACCCAAGAACTATTTACATTGGAAAACACAGTAATTTAGAGGGAGGGGAGGGATGGGAAGGGGGGAAAATACCTGCTGTACTCTCTGGTGAGCTCGTGGGAAGGAGTTGCACTGGCAACCCAAAGATAGACGGTTCAAATCCACCACCTGCTCAACTGGAGAAAGATGAGCAATCTCCAATGCACATGATCTGGGGCCGCCAGCTGCACCATGGGAAAAGGATGTCCCCCCCCCCCCCATGTGATTAACTGCATCTGAAAACCTGCAGAAAGTCAGCTAGGGGTCAGTTTCAACTTGACAGTACAGTACACAATAGCTCATTTTCTAGATACTAGAGCAAAGTAAAAATTGGAGCCAATTTAAGAGCCCTAAGCTATGGCAAGAGAGCTCTGGTGGCATAATCTGTAGAGATGCCTTACTAAAGACTGCAATTTACTGGCAGCTCGAATCTACTAGAGTCTCTATGCTGTTGTGTACCAGAGTTGGAATCAACCCTTAGCTGACTGACCCTCCAGTGGGTTTTCAAAGGCAGTAATCTCATGGGAGGAGATTGCCTATCCTTCCACTGAGCAGCTGATGACTTTGAACTGCATGCTTTGGGGATTGCAGTGCAGTTTCTTGCCATGAGGCCACCAGAGCTCCCACCATCTCCATGGGAGAAAGATAAGTAATCTCCTCTAACATAGTTTACAGCTTTGTAAGCCCAGTGGAGGCTTGGCTATGAGTTGGTTCTGACTCAGTGGTAATGATAGCTGAGATGAGATTCTAGGACACAAATATACTGTGGAGTTAAAAGAGAACATGAAATGTGGATGAGCTAAGACATATTTAATGTATAAACTGAGTTGGGCACCTTAGACTACTACACCACCCTGGCAACAGGAAAACCTGCAAGATAGCTTATAGCAAATTTGATAACAGGGAAACCTGTAAACTTCCTGGAACAAAACCTTACCAATATGAACAGACACTTCACCAAAGAAGACATTTAGATGGCAAACACACACATGAAAAAAATGTTCAAAATCCCTAGATCTAAGAGAGATACAAATAAAAACTATATCATCTCACCCCAGTAAGAATAGCAAAATTCAACAGAACAGCAAACAACAAATGGTGCAAGGTTATGGAGAAATTGCAACCCTTATTCACTGTTGGTGGGAGTGTAAAATGCTGCAACCACTATGGAAGACAGTATGGCGCTTTCTCAAAAAGTTGCAAATAGAGATACCATTTGACCTTTATAAGAAAATGGTGCCTAAAGCATAGAGGGAAGCCCCTGCCCCTCCCAAAACTGAAGCCAAAGCAAAGACATGAAAGGCCTAGAAGGCAGTCCTGAAGGGCATCCACAGCCAAAAATAAAAAGAAGATCCACACGTCACCCACCTTCCGGCAGCCTGATGCTGAGACTCTGAAAGCAGCCCAAATACCCCCAGAAGAGCGCCCCCAGGAGAAACAAGCTTGACCACTATGCCATCATCAAGTTTCCCCTGACCACTGAGTCAGCTATGAAGAAGATAGAAGATAACAACACACTTGTGTTCATTGTGGATGTCAAGGCCAACAAGCACCAAATTAAACAAACTGTAAAGAAGCTTTATGACATTGATGTGGCTAAGGTCAACACTTTGATTAGGCCTGATAAGCGAAGAAGTCCTATGTTCAACTTGCTCCTGACGCTGATGCTTTGGATGTTGCCAACAAAATTGGGATCATCTAAACTGAGTCCAGCTGGCTAGTTCTAAATACAAATTTTTCTCACACACACAAAAAAATAACACTTGACCCAGCAATTCCACTACTGGAAATGTACCCTAAGGAAACCAGAGATGTCACCTAAACAGATGGTATAGACACACATGTTTATTGCTGTGTTGTTCACAGTAGCAGAGAGATGGAAGCAACCCAAGTGCCCATCAATGAATGAATGGATAGAGAAGCTGTGGTATATTCATACAATGGAATACTACGCAGTGCTAAAAAACAACTCATAATGTACTATACAAAATGGGTGACTGTGTTGAGTTATGTTGAGTGAAATGTCTCTGTCACAAAAGGACAAATATTGCATAGTGCTGATGTTGTAGAATGGGACTGACATGGGGTTGGGGGAAAACTAAGAGGGGATAAATAATGAGGGGGAGTAATGGTGGTGGTACCGGAATTGGGGACGTTATCCCTGGCCACGTGGTCTTCAGTAAGGCATGATGTCCAGACTTGGGGGGGGGGTGCCAGCCAGCCCCGGGGGTGTGTCGCCCGGCCCATGGAGATTGCCATCTGGCCCTCAGGGCAAGCCATGCTTTCAGCCCCCGGTGGAGTGAGCCAGCCCTCTGGGTGAGCTCCTCAGCCCTCAGATTGTACCATCTGACCCCTGGGTAGAAAAAACTGCCTAGGCTACTTTCCTCCACCTTCTCCCCCAGTACACCCATAAGTAACACCCCCAAAGCCCTTCTATTTGTAACTCACAAGTTTGTTCTCTCTAGATTTGTTCCCTTTTCTATAGGTAACCTTAACACTGAGTTTTACTCCAGACCTGACCCTGAACCCAGTTCCAGAGACCAAAAGGAAATACAACGCCAGTTATGAAGAAAAGGGGGATGGAGTGTCAGGGTTCAGTCAGCCATCCCCACTGGACCCACGTGGGAAAACACTTTGCAGTCCAGAGGGTAGTAAATGTCGGGAAAACATCTTCTAAAAGAGCAATAAGGCAAGCAGCTTTAACCCAAGCCCACCAGTAAGGGGATAAAGTGTGTTCCCTTTCCCCCTTCACATCAACGCCCCCTTCAGCATGAAGTAGCCAGAGAGTCTGCACCAAATTCCCAAATGAGAAACCCACAAGTGAAAAAGACAGTTTGTTTAATCACCATTGGACTATGCTTACCATTGCCCTGAATCATCTGGTCCCCACTGGATCTTTTTAATTCCCTTCACCTGCTCCCTGCCCCAACCAAATTGTGCAGCCTTGCAACTGCATCCCTGCAATTTTCATCCCTGCCCATCCTCACCCTTCTGTTCCAAACCCTCACCTCCGTTTATCCCCAACATGCTTTCCCCAATAAAATTTAAAAAAAAGAAAAGTGGACTGGGGTGGGGAAGAAGAGAAGAAATTCTGCTAAAATAAATAAATGGAAATCCAAGCTTTTGTAAACTTTTATTAAAATCACAACAATAATTATATATATGTATAAAATATTTCTATATAAGACCAATGGAGTTTGAGTGCATCACAATTGAATTTACAATATAGCTCAAGAAGAAATCTGATGCATTGAACACTAATAACCAAAGACCAGACAAGTTGTGGGATGACATTAAGGACATCGTCCATGAAGAAAGCGAAATGTCGTAAAAAATACAGGAGAAAAAGAAAAGACTGAAATGGGGGGGAAAAAACCTGAAAGACTCTGAAACTTGCACTGGAATTAAAAGAAAACAAAATAGATGGGAAGGGAGGGTGTGAAGGAATGATGAAGTAAGAAAAATGAACAGAAGATTTCAAAGAGCAGCTCAAGGAGACCAACCTAATTCTTTTAATGAAATATGCAACAATGTGTTGGAGCACAGAGGAGTTTGTGAAGATGACGCAGGATCAGGCAAGGTTTCTATCTGCTGTTTGGGTGATCACTTTAGGTCATGGTCAACTTGATAGCAATTAACAGCAACTAATCCACCCAATGGATTCTTCTATAAAATTGTTTGTTCTTGATTAATGCTATCAATATTCACCCTTTCTCTTTGAGGATATGTCTCTGACTTTATTTCAAACTTATTATCTCTCACATGTTCATTCTTTCTTGTCTGGAATATTGGCTTTATTTAATTATTTGGTTGTTTTCATTCTTCAATGTCACATCATTTTTCCTAGAGAGTTCATATTCTTCTGAGTATTAGGTGTATTACAAGTTATCATCATGGGTGATAATAGATTCAATAAGAGCTAGAGGTCAGAAGAGGGGAGAATCTGTTGATGATAAAGTCAGTTCTCGATGCATGTTTCAGAGGAAAACTGTGCTCTTAGGATTTGAAGTAGCAAGGTTGTGATCCTTCAGAAGTGGGTCTTCTCTTTTCTTCTTCAGAGTCACTGGATGGATTTGAATCTCCAACCTTTAAGTTAGTAGCTAAGTGCAAATTAATATACTGCCCAAGGACCTCAGGGAGAGGAGAAGGTGGTTAAAACTGAGGAGTAACATCAGAAATAACTTGTGGCTTCTTAGTCAATTTATGTAGCTGTAGGTAAGGCTTTCATTAAAACAAAGAGCTTCTGGCATTATAATACGACTTCAATCGTTCTGTTTGCTACTTCATTTGCCAAGAGAGCCTATCTGCACTTCTACTTGACATTGCTCTTTTCCAGGAGTTAATCTTTCTCAAAGTCACCTGTCTCTATGTGCCACTAAATCTTGCCCCCTCAGTCAACTTTTGGACCCTCTCGGTATTTCCTCCACAGAACCTTGTTGGTTCTAGGGTGGCTTTGCTTTTTATTTGTCTCACAATGGG